TCCTGCTCAGTGGTCAGCTATGGTCTTCATCTTACTGTCATCAGAAAAAGATCTGGATGTGTTTGACCTGAAGAAATACTCGGTTTCAGAGGAGGCTTTTCTGAGGCTGCTGCCAGTGGTCAAAACCTCCAACAAAGCTCTGTAAGTGAATATATACTCATCACTATATTTAAAAATGGTTGATTTCACAAATGATTGAAAATAGAACAGTCATAGATTAAATAATTTCCTGTTTGCTTCCCTCGTAGATCAGGTCAACCGATATCTCTAAATTACTGTTTTAAAATTGAAAGAAACTCCTAGGTTTTTTGTAGTTCTGTGATTTTGTAGTAATCCAAAGTTTTCAAGACTGTATGCATTTCTGTTAATGTATAATGTAAAATTACGTTTTATTCTGACACAGTATTGTTAGATTATATCTTAACATTCAGAGAGCACAAATTTTTACGACAACCCACATTTAGCACCCAAAAAAACCCAAAACAAAACAAAAGAAAGATGAACATGGCACCCTTTTCTGAATTACAATTCAGATTTTTACTTTCTGAACATAGACATAAGATTAAAAATTGTTGTCGAGTCCTTAGCGGTTAGGGAGCATTGAACTGTTTGATGCCTCAAAGAAGAAAAGAAATTAAGAAAAAATTACAAAAATAATTTTAACATTGTTGATCAAGACTGCTTAAAAAACTGCTAAATCTAATCATGCTTCAGTGTACTTTCATTGCACTGCAACAGTGTTTTCAGTTTATCTTTTATTTTTCAGACTGAGTGGCTGTAACCTCTCAAAGAAAAGCTGTGAAGCTCTTTCCTCAATTCTCAACTCCCAGTCCTCTAGTCTGAAAGAGTTGGACCTAAGTAACAATGACCTGCAGGATTCAAGAGTGAAGTTTCCATACTCTAAACTGACAACTCTCCGGTCAGATCAATATATATTCTGTTTTCTTATCAGTTAACCCTCCTATTCCCCTCAAATATTACTATCACGTTTTACCATGGGGCTTATTTACCTCTACAAATGGTTTACATACAATTGTTGACCAATTGTTTGCGTCAGGCACTATGTTTATTTATTGAATACATTAGTAGTCCCTTGATAATAAAATTATAGTGCCACCATCAAGCCATGAAGTCAAACTTTTAATTTAGAATAAATGTATCTTGAAAAGTTTGAATTGAGAACTTTTCAAAACTGCCAACAGTCAGTACTGCCAACATTAAAAACACAAGTAGATGAACCCTGTTGGTCTTTGGTGATGACATGACCTTTTCTCTAGCACCACCATCAGGTCAAATTTTCAATTCTAGATCTGTTTTTTTCTCGTGGTGTTTACATCCATGCCCTTTAGAATGAATCTTGTTAATTTTTGCTCTAGCACCACGGCATCACTTTCAATCACCCCTCCTCCTTTCTTATACAGGCCTGGGACTGGCAATGGTAGAGTTGAAGTTTTTTTTTATTAATTTGTTTTGTTTTGTTTGTTTTTGCTGTTTGTTTGGAGGGGGTGGTACATATTTCATGGGAAATTAGACCATTTGTGAAACAGAAAATAATAAGAACATGGAAAGGTTCTTGTCCAACAGCCAATTTTTTTTCTCTGCACTACTGTACACAGGATGTGAAGAGAGTGTGTGCATGCTCCTTGCAGACATATTTCTTGCATTGTGCCC